AAAAAAAAAAAAAAAAAAAAAAAAAAAAAAACACCCCCCCCCCCTTCCTCATCCATCCATCCATCCATCCATTCCAAACAAAACATGAAATCTAATCAACGCACGACATAACAGTACACATGTCAATGCATGGATGATGCATAACACCACCTACCCGTTGCATTTTGTACAATGTGCCTGAAATGTTTTTTGTGTCATTTCGTTTGGGCTGGGCTCGGGACGGAAGGGGGTTGGAGCGTGGGTGGGGTGGTGGGGCCGGTTGGGGTCTGGTCTGGGCTGGTCTGATTTCTGTTTCTGGCTGGGGTTCTACGGGCTTTTGTACTTTCTTGTGTTGTACTCTAGGCGCTGGTGGGTTGGAAGGGGAGCGAGGTTATTTACGGGCGATGAGCCACTGGATTGCGACGAGGGAAACGAAAGGATGCATGGGGCGAGGCCAAGGGCAGAATCCACACAGGGCTGCCTCTTGGTGTGGGCTGTGCTGTGTATGGACATGTGGTGTGTATCGTGTATGGGTATCTTGAATGTGTCAAGCAGGCAGGCAATTGCGGTGACAGCAGCGGTGAGGGAGGGAGTGGGTGATGGAGGCTGGGTAGGACGGTACCTGAAGTGCACAGCTAGTGACAGTCTTCAGGTGCGACGACCAGTTCATGCAGGAAAGCGATGAGTGACGACGGCAACGACGACGACGACGGCGGTGGTTTATGGGATGGGCTGCGAGTCGTACTGCTTTCGCTGGTCGTGTGCCGCGCGTGTTTGCTGGCGCGAATTTCCGAGACAAGAGGGTGGTCGGTCGGAGGAGAGGCTCGTTTCGGCGTGGCAGGCGCTGCAGGTACAACGAAGACTTGGTCACGCTTGTGGGGACTGGCCGCCCGCTGCGCTGCGCTGTTCTGTTTGTTCGTCGCGAGTTGCACAACAGAGCCCACACACACACACACAAACACACACAATAGACATTGTACAGTGTAGATGGAGTAGATGAGATGGGTGGGTGGGATATAGCACGATGCTGGGCTGGCGCAGAGAACGGCTGATTCACCAGTCTTCTTGCAGTGTCGCCACGCCAGATACAATCATGGTAGGCTGGCCAGGTAGATGATTGATGTGCCATACACACAGACATACTACAACATACTGTCATACTTTCTACATACCATACCATACTATACACTCACACACAGCACCATGATTGACGGCGAGCAGAGCGGGGGGGGGGGGGGGATGGGTTTCAATGGAACACAAAAACTCTGGGCTATTTATGCCCATGTTTGTAAACAGCCCGGGGCAAAAAACCCCCCGCATGCCGGCAAATGAAAGGGAAGTAAGAAGGCGGAATCCCCCAATCCAACGGTCCCCCCAGTCCAACAAAAAAGGCCATCCCAACCCCCTTTTCCCTTCTCCCATTTTCCACCCCCCCAGTCCATTTTTCTCTTTTGCACAACCTC